TACATGCAAAATACAGTAAATATGGCTGATCCTAAGGTCTAGAATGAATAAAATGTTAATTTTGACACTTAATATATTATAAACAACTAATATTAGTCGTATAGGCAATACTGTTTACACAATTATTGTTTTATTCATTATAACCTGATACGAAATCGTGTCAATATTGGCATCCAACTTTCATATCAAATTTTACAAGTGTGTGTTATAAATTATTCCTCGGCGAGTTTGGAAAAGTAACGTAGTAACGGAGAAAATAACACGCACTTTCCATTGAAAAGTAACATGGTAACGGAGAAGGTAACTTTACACTTTCCACAGTGTCCAGCATATTCAAGGCTATAAGATACATTTAAACAGGAGTCTTTTCATCTTAAAGTTGGAAGTGTTGAAAGTTCGTAGTGATCCTTAATCTTCTGTAGGCTACTTGCCATTTAAAACTAGAAAGCTTATTCACTCGGTATTCTAAGAGCAATGAACACGAATATTAATAATTCACCCCATCCACCTGTTTAGATATATAGTACTTAAAGTAACGTTGTGAACTATCCTACAAATATTGACGTAATAGACAATTAGAAAGTAGAATTTTGGTACTTAGAATTATGGTACTTAGACAATTAGATTTTACCTAGAGACGAACTAGAACGTTTCCGGAATCGAGCTAGTCTGTGATCTACCTTTCGTCTAACTTTGTAACTTTACAGTAGTTTAGTAAGCTTTACCTGTGACCGATTTCTATATCATTGTTTTTCTTTTTCTCCGAAATAAGTCAGCTTACTCCTGTATGTGGCCCGCAAGCTTATAAAATCGTTACAACCCGACTGACCTAAGATCTGCAGGAACCTATCGATTTACCTCTTGAAGACCTCTGCCTTTAATTTACCATAATTTAATATTTTTCTTGAATGAAGGTTGAAGAATTATCATCTTTAGATACCGACAGTGTCTTCTAATTGCTTTCATGTTATCGCTTCTTTCTTCTGCTTGGACTTACATGCGTAAATAACGAATTATCTCGCTTACATTCCAAGCAATATCACCTTATGAGTGAGAAACAGGAATAGAAAAGGCGTGAGAACGAGAACGAGAAACGGCGTGAGAACGAGAAGAGGAAGGGTGCGAGAACAAGAAGAGAGAGGATACGAGGACGAGAGGAGTGGGCTTGAGGACGGAAAAAATGAGTAGACGAGAAGACAAGGACGAGGACGAGAAGAGAAAGGGAGGGACGACATGAAATGAGAGGGCGCGAGGACGAGAAGAGAGGACTTGATGGTGAGAGGGAGTGTGGGCGAAAAAGAGAGGAGGGGATCGAGAAGGGAGAGAGCGTGAGAACGAGAAGAGAAAGTGAGCGTGAGGATAAGAAGAGAGGAATCTAGATTAAAAAGGGCGACTGGTGGCCCGCAAGACTACGTGGGTACCTGAAGTAGCCTCCGTATCACTCAAAAGCATATCAAGCACAAGTTAAAATAATCATTCTTAGTTTACTTAACATTCATTTAACAATATTTTTTTTATTTCCTTCCTGTCCATGCCATCCCAAATCCTTATCCTGACCCACTTCCAAGTGCTTTATAGTCGTAATGGGTTGGCGATTCCCCCCCCCCCCCCTCCCCCTGATAGTTCCTCTCCTGTCCATGGCCACGCAGTTTAAAATTGTTAAAAAAATCCTTCTAAATAATAGCTTAGCATCCACATTCTGATTCTCTTCTAGTCTCTCTCTCTGCACCTACATCAAGCACGAGTTTCTTGAGCTTAATCAGCGTTGCGCCTAAGTTTGTGTAGTTCATTTTATTTCATAAAATGTTCGTAGTTTGCTTTTTAGCACAATTTCAAAGAATTTTAAAGACCTAAAAACTGTCTTGGAAGACCACATTCAGTTTCTTAAAGCACGCATTAACATTTATTCGTAACCTCAAAAGAGAGAGTCTTTTTAACCGGTCTGCATAAAAGATGAACATCAGTTTATCTTTTACGCAGAGAGAGAGAGAGAGAGAGAGAGAGAGAGAGAGAGAGAGAGAGGGGGGGGGGAGGGAGAGAGACTCATACAGCGGTTGAGTGGCTTAACTAATTGAAAAAAATCGCTGGATAATAGACTAGCGTGTCCCATACGCAGGAAGATATAATTTGTATTATTATTATTAAAGTTTTCGATGAAAAGGGTGAATCCCAGCTTGCAATGAATTTGAGCATGTCTTGGTTAAGTGGTCTTAGGCGTGTGCTTGGGAGCACGCAGTGTGAAGGTTCGAATCCCCCTTCATGGCTTCTACTGATTTTCTCATATATTCTGATGTTTCAATACTGTGCCTCACTTTCTAGTGTGGTGAGGAGGCAGGGACGTATTTTGTCATCTAGCAGTGTAGGCTGGAACTGATCACAATCTGTACTGGACCCACCTTTAAAGTTTGGGTCATGTGGGGCACTGACCCTCTAACCTTCTCATGCATGACCTCATCTTCCTATAAGGCCATGCAATGAGCTGACCCGACAACCTCCGCTAACATATTCCATTTCTTTACTCCTTTCATAATGACAAGAATTACTTATTTTGTTTCTTCATCTCATTGGGTTTTGTAATTATCTCGTATCCTCCCACTCTGGTTCCATCCCTGCCAGGCAAATGTGTCCTCCCTCTCTGACTCCATCCCTGCCAGGCAAATGTGTCCTCCCTCTCTGACTCCATCCCTGCCAGGCAAATGTGTCCTCCCTCTCTGACTCCATCCCTGCCAGGCAAATGTGTCCTCCCTCTCTGACTCCATCCCTGCCAAGCACCTGTGCTCTACCACTCTGGTTCCATCTCTGTCAAGCACCTCTGTCGTCCCGCTCTCCTACCATCCATGCCAAACAATGCCCCTGTCCGCTCTGTTAGGATCTATGTGTCATGTATTGTATGTTCTCAGCTCCGCTTTAATTCTGGTATTTTGCAGCGATGTGAGGGTCAAACCTCACACCCCATCACACTGTCCTCATAGCCCAGCTCTGTTAATTTCAGGTCTTAGCTTTCTCGCGGCCCGGTTCTCGACTAGGCCTCCTTTTTTGTTATACACCCCCCAGGAAGCAGCTGTGTAACTCTCAAGTACCTACTTACGGCTAGGTAACAGGGTCATCAGTGGTGAAAGAAACCCTGCCCATTTGTTTCCGTCTCCACTGGGCATCGAACCCGGAAAATCAGGATTACGAATCCGAAGCGCTGTCCACTTAGGCTGTCAGGCCCCCTGGGTTCTTTCAGTGATTCTTTCTTTTAGATTCTACCAATTGCATTCATTTTAGGTTATTGGCCTTTTCTTCCATTGGCCTTCTTTCTGTCCCGTATGGAGCAGGGAGAGGGGAGTGTGAGGTAGGGAGAGAGGGGAGTGTGAGGTAGGGAGAGAGGGGAGTGTGAGGTAGGGAGAGAGGGGAGTGTGAGGTAGGGAGAGAGGGGAGTGTGAGGTAGGGAGAGAGGGGAGTGTGAGGTAGGGAGAGAGGGGAGTGTGAGGTAGGGAGAGAGGGGAGTGTGAGGTAGGGAGAGGGGAGTGTGAGGTAGGGAGAGGGGGAGTGTGAGGTAGGGAGAGGGGAGTGTGAGGTAGGGAGAGAGGGGAGTGTGAGGTAGGGAGAGAGGAGTGTGAGGTAGGGAGAGGGAAGTGTGAGGTAGGGAGAGAGGGGAGTGTGAGGTAGGGAGAGAGGGGAGTGTTAGGTAGGGAGAGAGGGGAGTGTTAGGTAGGGAGAGGGGAGTGTGAGGTAAGGAGAGGGGAGTGTGAGGTAGGGAGAGGGGAGTGTGAGGTAAGGAGAGGGGAGTGTGAGGTAGGGAGAGGGGAGTGTGAGGTAAGGAGAGGGGAGTGTGAGGCAGAGAGGAGAGTGATGTGGAAAGATGAGTGAGAAAGTGGGTATATGTGAACTATAATTGAAACTAGAACTATAATTGAATGCCAGCAGTTCCGCTTTGTTCCTTGGGTGGCTTAACCTTCGTCAATCATTAATCAATCACTGCTGTGTCAGAGCACGACGTGACTGCGGCTTAACCACACCTTTCGTATGGCAGGTGAGTTTGTCCTGTGACTCAAGCTTACTTAATTGTTCTAATTACTCAAAACGTATTTATATTTTGTAAATGTAACAGTAATTCCCATTTATGACCAGCTGCTCCCTTGCCCGTGTCTTATCAGTAAGTTTTCAGTTGTTGATAGTTGTATGTCGTAAGTTTATTCTTGACACACTGTTAATATATTGTAAATGGCCGGGGAATATTAGTTTTGGATTCTGTGACTGACATTACTGCGTTCTTCTAATGTTATTGACATATTCTGCTGGTAATCTGACAAATAGAAAATGGTTAACCTTGTCGTTGGAAAATGTTTTTTTTATTAAATACCATAATGACGTACATATTCTTATTATTTCTTTATTTTCAATTTTTAATTGTTATTTTGTCCAGGTAATTTAGATACGTTAGATACGGGTGGAGTAGCTCGGCGGTAGGCGTGTCTTGGTGTACCAAATATACCAAAGCTTTTCTAATTTCGGTTAATGTGTTTCTCATTCTTAAGCCACGGATTAGTTATTACTGTTTCTGGTTATCAGAGACAACCGCTCCACGCCCACTCCTCGTAATTTGTTGGGTCTTTAGTAATTTAAATAATTGTCACATAAACATATTTGCTGATATTATCTTCAGCAGCGGACGCTCAAGTAAACTGTTTATTTTCGGTAAAGATAAAGCAATTAAGCAAAGATACCCCTGGAGTGTATTTGTCATCAGACATTGAATAACACTTATGATGTTACTGGCATAGGTTTATGAAAGGTTGAACGGCAGGATTGATGGCGTGAACCTGATCGTAGACGATTGTTAAACAGGTGAGTCTGTGGGAAGCCGAGGTGGGCGAGCGGCAGACGAGGGGAAGCTTGACACACGCACACCCTCTGGACGACGCCAGCAGCTGGTCGACTCCCCTCCCTCCCTCCCCTCAAACCCATCGATTATTTTCCTTAGCGAATACCAAACACAGCCACACTGGGCTTACCTTCCATACTCCGACAGGGTATCAGTGGTGAGGGATGAAGCTGGGCACAGACGGGGTGAAGAGCCAGACGGGACAAGAGAGAGAGTGGGCAGGTCCAGCAGGGGGCCTATCACAGCACCTTCCTGCGTGGTGACGGGGTTGCCTCTCCTGCGCCCGGACTGGCCCACACCTGCGCGCGCACCCAGGCCACCCTCACCGTTATTACACACGCTCTTCCCTGCCCTTCACCTCTACAGTAACATTCATCCATCACCACCAAGCCTCTGATGTGCGTGTCTGAGGCTGGGATGAGGGGGACGTCCTTCCGGAGATGTCCCACTTCCGGTGAAGTAGGTCGCGCGAGCAACAGTTTGATCAGGCTGATGATCGCCGCCACAAGCCCACCAACACCTTGCTAACATCACTAATTTTTCTTACCTTGTATGGTATATATATATATATATATATATATATATATATATATATATATATATATATATATATATATATATATATATATATATATATATATATAATAATATGTGTGTGCGTGTATATGACCACGAAGGAAAAAAGACGGGAAATTCCGTAATTACTTTCGTATTAATCAATACATCTTTATAAGGGTAGATATTACAAATCAGTCGTGATGATATCCATCCTTCTAAAGCTGTATTGATTAATACAAAAGTACTTAAGGAATTTCACGTCTCATTTTCCTCCGTGGCCCAGACATCATCACATTATTTATGGCATGAATAATGCCATGAATAAAACACTCACACATTATAATATATATACGAACAAGCCTGAATGGTCCCCAGGCATATATGCAACTGAAAACTCCACACCCCAGAAGTGACTCGAACCCATACTGCCAGGAGCACTATGCAACTGGTGTACAGGAGACCTTAACCGCTCGACCATCACGACCGTACAAAAGATGATGGTAGCCGAGGCCATCATCCCCCCCACCCCCGGTGGCACTTTGATGGTAATCTTAAGAATAGCTATTTCATCAAATCATTTTCATTTTAGTGGGGCCACGTGAGCAACAGAAATGCGAAAATTTCGCATTTTCGTATTTATGTTGCTGATTAATTCTGAAGATGTATTAATATACTAAAGTACTTAAGGAAATTCATGTTTCAGTTCTTCCTCCTTGGTCTGACACTGTCACATTTTTCATCGCGTGTTAATTTTCGTGATTTACACACACACACACATATATATATCCCCTTCATCCCCGGCGATATATATATATATATATATATATATATATATATATATATATATATATATATATATATATATATATATATATATATATATATATATATATATAATAGAGAAAGAGAGTGTAGTCTTACCTCAGCACAGTAGTCTAGCAGAGAGAGAGCCCGTTATCTAATACCCTACACTCCTGTTGGTCGCCTAGACATGGGAGTTGTTGCAAGTCAAACATTTCAAACTCCAACGAGGGTGGTCGTGTGCCCATGATGCACCAAGCATATCCCCTCTGAATTACGATACTGAAACGCTGAAACAAGAATCTTTTCGTTTTTTGTAACACTGATTAGTTTGTTGGCCAGTTCCTTTAGGAACAACAATGCACCTTTTCCCCACGAACCTAGGAGATCCGAGCCGATTGGAACAAAACTGTAGCAGTGTGCCAGTCATCTGTATTTGATGGCTTTCTGTGTTTCCTTGAAAGAAGCAGCGCCACCTCTTTTCGCTTGTGCTGTGTTGGAGGTAGGTACTGGCCAGTGTGGAAGTGCTTGTGTAGTCCCACACTACTTGCTTACCAGCGTTCCATAGAAGCATGGTGACTCCGTCCGGGCGCTTCTGAGGTTTGTTGGATCTGAAAAGATGTGGTTTTCTTTGTGCTGGTCAGCGGGCTGTGGCGAGCCTCCTCTTGATGATGTCGTTGACTTCTTTCTGTCTTGCAATCTTACCCTGGGATCTACGACATACCTGACCATGACGGCCATATTGGTCTGCCATCGCGCTTCCGGAGATGCACCTGTGTCCGGTGAGGATGGGGGCGGCAAGGCAAAGGGCAACTCCAAATATATATTATATATATATATATATATATATATATATATATATATATATATATATATATATATATATATATATATATATATATATTATATATTATATAATACCCTACAGGGGCGTTTATACAAAATACTAATGTAATTATTATGATGGCTTCGCTCGCGTACTGGATCCGGTTAGGGTTTTCCTCGCCAAAAATCAATTGTATTACAGATAACAGAATACATAAAAAATAAACTATATATATTAACAATTCTTACCAAAATTAGAGATCACAATTATGAAACACAAAGCTACAATGCAGCGATGTAAACTGAGACCAAAATCCAACAAGATAAAAATAATATTTATGATAACGCATACAATTTATAAAAATACCATATCATACGTTCAGATTATTTTAAACCTCCCGCGAAATTAGTTTTATTTAAAATATATATATTCCTAAATAAGGGATTCCCGAAACGTTTTACCAATACAAATATTGGTAATACCACGTACAGATTTATAAATTTATTAAATTCTTAAATCCATAGTCGTAATTTACTATCCTAGTTTGCTCAGGTAAAGTAGTTACTCAGTTCACAGCTGTTGGTAGAGTAAAGTTGACAGTTTACAGAGAGTATACTGTACCCCGCAGCCTACATAGGAAGACCCCCATCTCCCCCCTCTCACTCCCCACTTTCAAGTTCAAGTATGTTTATTGAGACAAGAAAATATACATCTCGAAGGGATAGAGTAGCTTAGGCTATTTCCCGCCCCACTCTATGTGGGCTCTGCCTTGTCGTTATTTTTCTTTTATAAGCTTAGGTATACGGCAATGTGCTGTTTACTTATTCTATAGAAAGGGTTATAGAGGATAGATTTTTGACATAAAAGTAAAAGGTGATTTTACAGTTCATGTTACAACATTCCTTATGCCTGCTTTGCAGGTTAGGTTTTCAAGTGCTTGAAGAGCTGACTGTAAATCACAGATAATTAATCATCCAGTATTTTTCAGTGTATTGGAGGTTAGTTGAAATGCAGCGAACTATGTATGTGCGGAGGTAAGCCAGTTGTTAAGTCTTACACAAGGGGGTCTGTGTACAACTGTTGTAAAAATAATTACAGTTGCTTGAGTATGTTCTGATACTAGGGTCTAAAACCTGTACTTCCATTAAAGTTATGACGGCATATCGCCGCACCCCTCGAGAACCCCATATTTTATATTATGTATATATGTTGGCCTCGTAACCTGGTGGATAGCGCGCAGGACTCGTAATTCTGTGGCGCGGGTTCGATTCCCGCACGAGGCAGAAACAAATGGGCAAAGTTTCTTTCACCCTGAATGCCCCTGTTACCTAGCAGTAAATAGGTACCTGGGAGTTAAGTCAGCTGTCACGGGCTGCTTCCTGGGGGTGGAGGCCTGGTCGAGGACCGGGCCGCGGGGACACTAAAGCCCCGAAATCATCTCAAGATAACCTCATGATGTTATATCTATAATGTTATTTTAGTTAGGAGTAGCGATGATGTAGAAGGGTACATACTTTTCTCCAGTTATAGACCCGACTCGTCTTAAGGGTAAAGGCCGGTTGCTTATACGGACTCAATCAAAATATGACCCATCACTCACTGTGTAGGCAAGTGCTCTTCCAGCTGCACCCGTGGATGTTTGTAGGGAACCATCAGTGTATATGGTTTGAGAGATAGAGAATGTTCCATGGATAGAAAATCAGTATGGCTTAAGGCGTTAAGTTTTGCCTCAAGACGAAGCTTGGACCGATCTTTAATTTGCTTCTTCAGTAGAAGTTGGAGGGATTCAAATATTAAAGGGGTTATCTCCCATGGCGAAGGAAAGTGCTGTTGACCCACAGGGTGGGCATGAGCTGCTTAATCAATAAACTAAACTAAAATGCTGCAGTTTGACCTGTTAACATTTAAGCAGACATCATTGTAAGCATAGTGGTCATGTAGCCGTAGGTTGTTTATAACGATTCAGATTCAGACATTCAGATTCTTTATTCAGGTAAAGGTACATCTATTGAGTTACATACAAAATGATGGATTTAAAGATAGAGATAGTACATACAATACCTAAAGCCACTAGTACGCACAGCGTTTCGGGCAAAAGGATTCAATAGCGTTAAGTGTTGTTGTTTGAGAAGTGTTGGATTTTCGTTACTCCTGTCGTGGCGGTGCTGGGAGAGGGGAAGGCCGATTGCTTGCTCTGCTGTAGTCGGGACGGCACCTGATTGTGGCCAAAGGGCCACACTCAGCTATTAATATGACACAGGGGTTGGCTCCACACGCAGAGTAGAGGTTGATATGACACAGGGGTTGGCTCCTCACGCAGAGGTTGATATGACACAGGGGTTGGTTCCTCACACAGATGTTGGCTCCTCACGCAGAGGTTAATATGACACAGGGGTTGGCTCCTCACGCAGAGGTTGATATGACACAGGGGTTGGTTCCTCACACAGATGTTGGCTCCTCACGCAGAGGTTGATATGACACAGGGGTTGGCTCCTCACGCAGAGGTTAATATGACACAGGGGTTGGTTCCTCACACAGATGTTGGCTCCTCACGCAGAGGTTGATATGACACAGGGGTTGGCTCCTCACGCAGAGGTTAATATGACACAGGGGTTGGCTTCTCACGCAGAGGTTAATATGACACAGGGGTTGGTTCCTCACGCAGAGGTTAATATGACACAGGGGTTGGTTCTTCACGCAGAGGTTGATATGACACAGGGATTGGTTCCTCACGCAGAGGTTGATATGACATAGGGATTGGTTCCTTACGCAGAGGTTGATATGACACAGGGGTTGGTTCCTCACGCAGAGTGGGGGTTACATTTGCACGGAGAGACAGCTGCTCATGGAGTAGGGTATATAGATGTTTGTGCTTGGTGTGAGGTGGGGGAAGGTACACGGGTCTCGTCCCTTATGCAGAGTGAAGGGTTGTATTGTGATAGTAAGGTGAACTGGTATCTCATATAGTGTGAGACTTTGATGGTATACTGGCTGTTACTTCATGTAATTGCTTGTGTGGCAAGGTTATATATCAGATTTCAATGTAATCACCTGCAAAGATCAATAGTTATATCTTAATCTTGCTCCTAAACTATAAATGTGTTATAATAACGGCGTTAAGGATTAAAAGAAACACACATATGGTTTGTGAGAAATGCCTTTTAGTGTAGGCTATATACCCATAGGATGAGTGACAATGGGGAATGGGGGGGATCCCCCTTCATATATTGTTGGGTTAGTGTGACGACTGGACTGGTACATGATATAAGAGTTTAATCCAATTAGTTTCTTATG